TTGAATTTTTGAAATGCTTTCCCTTCCTCTCTTAGTTTTTTTGCCTTCAAGTGGCATATTCAAGTGCAACAATTTATATCCCACTGTGCAAGTTCAATGGTCAGTTGTTGCGTGTTTGTCCAAGTTGATGCTTCATGCTCTTACTCTGATTTTCTTTTGCTTCTTTATTATCATCATTCTTATGATTGTTTCTTAATTTTGCCAGCTTTGTGGCATTTTCAGGGTCAAGAGGGATTCAGCTTGCCACTCAACACCTTCCTCACTTTGAGGGCTTTGAAGACTTTGAAGGGCAACACAATAAACAAGGAGGAAAGGAGTAAGGCGTTTTGGTGGGATGGGATGAGAATATGAATGGTTTGGTGAGCAAGTGGGAACAAAGAGAAGGAGAGACAGGCACCCACAGTGTGGCAGGAACAATGTTTGCATAACTTCAGGTGACCAGGCCTGAGGGAAGTGGAAGAGGAATCACCATCCAATGACCCCCATCAAGCCTTTAGGAATTCTGGTGGAAGGCAGAGCTCAGGACAGTGTGAGTTCTCTGCTTCCTTAAGGGCAAAGAGACAGAAAACATGAAAAAAACCCAACCTGATACTGTGTAGTATTTCCAGCACTAAGTATCTTCTGTGATTTTTATGCAGTTTAATTCAGTATCTGTGACTATTTCCTTCTCCCCTGAGGTCTTCCTGCCTGCACAGATCCCACAGAGGAGAAATGATCTCCATTTTCAGGCAGCGTTTGCCTTTGGCTTAATTATTCCCAGATAGCCTGGCAGTGTAGCTGGCACAGGAGCCAGCCCAATGGACACCTACCCTGTTGGAAAGGAAACCTCACTGCAGACTGCTCCTTGCTGCCTGCCCAGAGCTAGAAGGAAGCAGCTCCCAGGGGGAACAGCAGGAAAATAAAGCATCAACCATACAGTTTGTCACACACTTCCACTGGGGAAGTCTTTGACACCGCTGACAATGAAGTCCTTCATAGCCATGGAAAATACCTGGCTTGATGCTGATTGTGTCAGGACTAAACTGCACAAAACATAAGCCAGAGGAGATGAACAATTAGATTCCCTTTAATCCAGCCCTCACCTGGTTTCTGTCTTCTTTTGCTCAGTTTCTGTGTTGTCACAGGCAGAGTAGAGGTCAAAACAGGCACAACAGTGTGCAGAGGAAGGGAGCGTGCAGGCTCCCATTCCCACAGGGATGGTTTAACTTCTTCCTAACTGCTCCAAGTCCCTCAGCTCCAGTGGAGAGGTATTTATGCTACCCCACAGTTCAGCTGTGTTCATTTACAGGGCAATCCCACCTACTGGCGAGTCAAGGTGAGGAAGCAGATTTCCAAGTTGGTGTTTGGAGATAGGGCTGTGATGTGCAAGAGGGCAGGGAATGTGAGCCATGCAGCTGAGGGTGGCACATCAAACCATGTAACCCAACCCCTTGTCACTTCCATTTCACAGCCCCAAGTCACAAAAATGTATCTGTTTCAGACTACACCTGCTTTTCGAGTCTTTGCTTACCAGGGCAAGTATAACTTTGGGCACAGCAGTAATCCCATTCACTGCATTTCCCTGCTGAGTGAGATTCCCCAGTTAGGGTGCTTGCATCACGGCCTCTGTTACTTGGCTGAATGAAAGGACTCCTGACTTGTCCTCTGTCTGAAACAAAGCCAGAAACCTGCCAGTGTGCCTGTTTTTGGTGTGGTAAAGAACAGTAATGCAATTGCAGTCTGGTAGGTGAAATGTCCCAGAAAGACCCAGGATATTTGCAGGATGTCCTGATCCATTCCTTGGAGCTAAAAATTAACTTTCATCCCCAGAGAATTACCAACTTTCAGACTGCACCTGTGCTTTGAGCCTTTGCTTGCCAGGGCAAGCAAAACTTCAGGCACAGGAGTGATCCCATTCACTGAGTTCTCCTGCATAAATCACTCCCAGCAGCCCAATGAACTCTCCTTTCTTTGGGAATGGAGGAGCAAACTTCCTGCTCCCAGGTTCACAGGTGAGGCTGAGTGACACAAGCCAGGAGCTGTGGCAGATTTTCACAGCTGGCTTGAGGAATCCCTGCTGCTGAAAGAAGCCACTGGGGACTAGAGCACAGAGCCATAACAATGGAAGGATGCTGGAGATGTGGGTTGCCATTATACTGGCTGCCCCAGGTGATGGCACAGGATGCACAGATGTGCACATAGGATGGTGGTACCAGCTAACATACCTGGGATATGCAGGAATGGGGCACACAGGATCCCTCTGTGTCCAGAGCATGCACAGGTAGCACCATTGCACCTACATGCATGCAAAGGGTGGATGTTGGGGTGGGAGGAGAGGAGACACAACCTCCTGCCACAGGCTCCTTGCTCTCTCAAACCCCCCTGTACACACTGGGCATTGCACTGGGCTGAAAGGGAGAGAGAGGATGGGAATATCCCTCTCAGCTTCAGTGTCACAGCTTCATACAGCATTTTGGTGGCTGGTTATCCCTGTGACATGATAAACATGGGATTTTGTGCCAGACCCACATTATACGGCTTGGGACCAGAAAGCAAAGGTGGTACAATGGGCCCATTTAGATGGCAGGCTCAATGTTCCTTCTCAGAGACATGCAGGGAAAAAAAGGGCTGAGGGATGCTTCCCAGCTTTCACTGGGAAACAGTCAAGGGAGAGCTTATCCAGGCTGTAGGGCTCTGCAGTGCAGGGGACTGAACAAGTGCAAGTTGCTTCACAGACTATCCCATCTCCCTCCATGACGGAGGAGCAGAAGGTCAGGCAGATCAGGAGCGGCTCATGTGGTAAGTCTGGCAGCACCCCTTCATGGAGACCTGCAGAATGTTCTCAGCTTGACACAGGACTTGAACAAACCTCTTTAATAAAGACCTTTAATTTGAATGAGGTGCATCTGGAATGGATGTAGGGATGGATGTTCTCCATCTCCCAAACAGACACAGAAGGGGTGTGCATTTAGCAAGGATAAAGGCATTCAGTCTCTGAGGCTCACTGAGCCCTTGGTACCCCTGCACAGAGCTTCAGCAAGCTCACCATCCTAGCACTGAGAGTGGGTGCTGGGAAGAGCTCAGCTAAAGCAACAATTTGTATTGAAACCCCATTTATTTTCCCCAAAATACCCCTTGGACTTAGAAAGACTATGTTAGATTTAACCTAGGGAACAGGAATACAAGGTTCTGTATCCTTTTGCAAAACCAGGTACCTTTCCTGCTGAAGGTCCCATCAAGATGCCAGGCAGCTCAAACTCAAGTGATTAACAGGGCATATTTCATTTGAGTGGTCCATCAGTCTTGGCCAAGGGAAGGAGCAGAAGTCCTTGGCTGGCTGAAGAGTCATGAGCACATGGGAAGCCCCAGCCACACAAACCTTGACTAAGAAGCAAAGAGGCAGAATGGTGAGTGATGAGTACTAGACCCAGATCAGCACAGAGCAAAGTGATGACCAGCCCCACTTTTACCAGGGCAGGACAGCCATCCCTCGTGAAGCTTGTGGTCTGCTGCCTACCCAGGAGAGATTCCTTTGGCTGTGATGGACAGCTTGTCAGACCTCGGGCACCCCAAAGGCCAGGTTGTCCCGAATCATCAGTGTCTTCCGAAGATCTCGCTCCATGATTGGCCTCTGTGTTCGCCACTTATGGGCTTCCTGGAGTCCTGGTTCAAAGTAGTAAATGCAAGCTCCAAAGCCGACCAGGATGAGAATGGAGATCATCAGATACACGGGCACAAACCAATCCAAGAAGTGGGGCATGGCTGCCAGAGAAAAGGAGAGAAAGCTCATGCAGTGAGAACACCCAAAACACACCTCCACCAAGACTGGTCACAAGACACCTGCCTCATCAGCAGTGCCCAGTCCCTCCTCACAGCCCTGCTGCACCTGGTTTATGCTCGGTTGCACATGAAGGCACCTCATCCACTGGGAGAGGTCAATGCATTTGGGATCATTGCTGGGATCCATGCACAGAGTCAGTCCTGCTCCCTCCAACCCAGAGGGGGTTGGTCCTGCTGCCAGTGATTAAAGGTAGGCAGTGGGTAAATACAGCTGCTTCTCACCTCCTGTTTGAGGGAAAATCTGCTTCCCCTGACACTCCATCACCTCTTTGACTTCCCAGTCTGAGCTGGTCTGGCTCAGGACTGAGCCCTCCCTTACTGTGCCTCAGTTTCATGTCCTGCTTTGCCAGGGCTCAGGGTCCTTTGTTCAGCACCAGTCTATGAACAGAGCTGACATCTCTCCACCACATCGGCCACTGTACAGTGGGGAACACTCACCAGGAGCAGCTGATCTGCCTTGCTAAGAACCCCTGGCCAGCCGGGTGCAAGGTGAGCCTGGAGCAGCGTTGCC